AGCAGCAGCAGCAACAGCAGCAGCAGCAGCAGCAGCAGCAGCAGGACATTGAAGGAGAGAGGTCTTTCTCGTTTGACTGGCAGTCGCTGCCCTCCGACAAGCGAACAGTAAAGCTGCTTTCTTCTGCTGCTGTTGCTGTTGCTGCTGCTGTTGCTGCTGCTGCTGTTGCTGTTTGTTGATTATATGTGTGTAATCCGCATGCAGTGTACATGCAGCTTTGGGGCTTTGTTTGCATGCAGATGATAGAAAGAGATGCTGGCACTGGATTACGTCTACAGACGGAGCTGCAGCGGCTGCGGGAGGAGCAGCAGCAGCTGCAGCAGCAGCTGCAGCAGCTGAACCCGAACTTTAAAGTGCAGCAGAAGCTGAGGGAGATGGAGGCGCAGCTGCAGCAGCAGGAGGAGCTGCAGCAGCAGCAGCGGCAGGCAGCAGCAGCAGCAGAAGCTAAACTCAAGCAGCTACGAATTCAGAGACGAGATGCCTTCATGAAGTGCTTCGTTCACTGTCAAAATGTTTTAAGTCTCATCTTTGCTCATTTATCGGCAGGAGGACCCATGCAAGACCAGCAGCAGCAGCAGCAGCAGCAGCAGCAACAGCAGCAGCAGCAGCAGCAGGACGGGGCGACATCGGATATGCTCATGCTGGAAGACAATCTGCAGGAGCCCTGGCAGCAACAGCAACAGCAGCAGCAGCAGCAGCAGCAGCAGCAGTTTGATGCAGGGGGGGCTCAGGCGTTTCTTGACTTGGAGAGTTCAGCCGCCTTTGCGAGAGAAGAAGAGCCTTTTAATTGGTAGGCGAATCTTAAACCCTATCTACTCAAACCCTAAACCCTAAACCCTAAACCCTAAACCCTAAATCCCTTTTATCTGCCCCAGATAGAGGGTGTAGGGTGTATACCTAGGCTCTACGACGTAGGATTAACTGTACCTAGGGTTTTAGGGTTTAGGGTTTAGGGTTTAGGGTTTAGGGTTTGTGTGGTTTGTGTGTTGTTCAGCGGGGTGTCTTTAATTTGTAAATTTCCTACAAAACGCTTTATGCATTTCTCTCAACTCAGCGGCGGAGAGCAGCACGTCGCGGGTTTGTCTCTGGCTTTGGCGTTGTCTTCATTCAATTCTGTAGGTTAAAACCTCAGGGTTTAGGGTTTAGGGTTTAGGGTTTAGGGTTTAGTGTGTTAGTGTTGGGTCTAGCAGTAGATGCGGGTCAGTAGCCCTTCCGGTTCAGCGGCTAGGGTTTAGGGTTTAGGGTTTAGGGTTTAGGGTTTAGGGTTTATTGCATTGGGGTTAGAGTTCAGAGTTTAGTGTTTAGGGTTTAGTCCTTAGAGTTAAGGTTTTATTGTTTAGAGTTAAGGCTTTATTGTTTAGAGTTAAGGTTTTATTGTTTAGGGTTGCGGTTTTATTGTTTAGGGTTAAGGTTTTATTATTTAGGGTTACGGTTTTATTGTTTAGGGTTTAGGGTTTAGGGTTTAGGGTTAAGGTTTTATTGATTAGGGTTAAGGTTTTATTATTTAGGGTTTATTGTTTAGGGTTTAGGGTTTAGGGTTTAGGGTTTGTTATTGCAGAAGGTGCCTTTTCTGCTGTTGGACGAGATTGACGCTCATTTAGACAAAACGCGTTTGAGTCGTTTGGCTGCACTTTTGAGAGAAATTTCGGGGGGTAGCAAAATCCAGTGTATGTTCATCACCCACAAAGAAAGGTACGCTTAAACCCTTCTAAAGCACCTCCTAGGGTCTAGGGTTTAGGGTTTAGGGTTTAGGGTTTAGGGAGTGGGGGTTTCGGGAACGGATGCATCTCTACATTTCTCTGTCTTCAGTATTATTTGTATATATACTATATATATGTATTTGTATATAATATATATATATAATTAGTTATTTATTTATAAAGTAGCTTATGTATATATATAAAGCTTATGTATATATATAATCTATAGAAATAAATATAATTATATATATATTATATATATATATATCTTGAAAGCCCTGTATGACTATATATGCGTTATGTATAGGATATCAATATAATGCGTATAGGATGTACTACAAAGTAATAACAGTAAATATTATTTATTTTTGTTTATTTATTTTGTTTGTCTTCTCTATTTAAAATATTACAGGCTATTTACAGCTGCAGATTTATTAATAGGAGTTGTAGAAGACTCTCTGCTTCCCTCGTCTTCTCGTTGCTTTTTCTTTGATGTTCGCCCGTACAGACACCGCGAGCCCCCTTGTGCAGCAAATTAAAACTCTAAAACAAATAAATAAAACTATTATCATTATTATTATTATTATTATTACTGAGGTGTATTCAGATAAAATGCTTAGATTATAAATGCAGCAGCGGCTTGTGTATATACAGCGCGAGTCTGCATGTTGCTGTCTATAGATATAT